CATAAGACAAAATTTTTCAGCACAAGCAGCTCAAATTGGGGAGTGGGGGTGGGGCTGAATGATTGAAACAAAAATAGAAATTCAGCATATGCCAGTCCCACCTGGGCTCTGAAACCTAGATTTGCATATCCAGCTGCTGATTTGGATATCTGATGAGTGTCTCAAACTTAAAAACGTAAAGTGTCTACAACCAGACTCCTAACTGCCCTCACCCCGCCCCAAAGAAACCGCTTCCTTCACTGTCTTCCCCCTCTCAGTAAACGGCAACTGGATTTTTCCAGTTGCTCAGATTAAAACCTTGGAGTCACCTTTTTTGTTTGTTACCCCTCACCCAAGAATACTGTTTCCATTGGTTTTTAGAGAGTGGAAGGGAGAGAGGGAGGGAGGGGGAGAGACTGAGAGAAACATCCACGTGAAAGAGACACACGGATTGGTTGCCTCCCACAGGTACCCCAACTGGGCTGGGATCGAACCTGAAACCCAGGTATGTGTCTCCTTGACTGGGAATTGAACCCAAGACCCTTTGGTGCCTGAGCCAATGCTCTAACCACTGAACCACACTGTCCAGGGATGGAGTCACCTTTGCCTTCTCTCTCTCCCTCCCTTCCCCTGCCATCCCCAAATCCCATGTCTTATCCTTCAGCAAATTCCATTGGCTATAGCTTCAAAATATATCCATAATCCAACTGCTTCTCATCACTTCAAGTGCTACAACCTTGGTCTAAGCCAATATCACCTGTCGCCTGATTATTCCACAGCTTTCTAACTGATCTCTCTGCTTCTAACCTTCACCCTACAATTTGCTCTGCAGATCCTGTCACTCCTCTGCACAAAACTCACAAATGCCTTATCCTTCAGGCAAAAGCTGTAGTTCTATGAAGGTCTACCAACTGCTATCTGTCCTACTCTCTCTCCCCATTCACTCGACTCCTGCTGTGCCTGGATCACACCAAGCATGCTCCCACTTCAGAGCCTACATACCTCTGTGGCTGTGTAACAAATTACCACAAACTAAGCAGCTTAAAAACAACACTCATTTACTATCTCACAGTTCTGTAGATTGATGTCCAGCATAGCTTGGCTGGGTTCTCTGCTCAGGGTATCATAACCCTGAAATCAAGGAATTGGCTGGACTGAGTTCTTGTCTGGAGGCTCTGGGAGAAAATTGTCTTCCTGTTGTTGACAGGATTCAATCCCTTGTGGTTGTAGGACTGAAGTCCCCTATTTCTTCCTGGCTATTAGCCAGGAGCTACTCTCAAGTCCTAGAGGACATAGCCTTCCTTCGTACATGGTCCCTCCATTTCTAAGTCAGCAATCGTTCTTCAAACCCTTCTCATGCTTCAAATCTTTCTGATGTCCTCTTCTGCATCCAGCCAGAGAAAACTTCCTGCTCTTAAAAAGTTCATGTGATTAGGCCACACCCACCAGATAATCTCCTTTTCTTCCAGTGAAGTATGCCAGATGATATAACCTAATTACAGAAGTAAAATCTATCATATTCACAGTCCTAGGAATTATCCAGGGTATATACACAGGGGGTGGGAAATCTTGGGGACCACCTTATAATTCTTCCCATCACACATGTACTGTAAGAACAAAAAGACCCCCAAAATACAATGACTTAAGCACGATAGAAGTTTATTTGTTTCTCTCATATAACTGTCCAAGTATAATCACTCTAAGACTAATAGGTCAGCCTTTTAGTTATTCTGCCTTTTCCAAGGAACTGGTCCTGGTCTTTAAGGTCTAAGACAGTTTACCACCATGTTTGCTAGGTAAGATGGGTGAAAAGAGAAAGGAGAAAGCATACCCTTACTTCTAGTAAGATGGGTCAGAAGAGAAAGGAGAAAGCATATCCTTACTTCTAAGGGCACAATCTGGCAATGCACACATCACTCAATCACATAAGCACACCTAGCTTCAGGAAAGCTGTAAAAACTAATCTTTATTCTCAGTGGCCATGTGCCTGGATAAAAATCAGGGTTCTATTAGTAAATAAAGAAGGGGATGCCCAGCAGGGCCTGGCTCAGCAGTTGAGCGTTGACCTAGGACCCAGGCGAATGGGGTTTGATTCTGGGTCAGGGCACATGCCCGGGTTGCGGGCTCGATGCCCAGTTGGGGGCGTGCAGGAGGCAGCCAATCAATGACTCTCTCATCATTGACGTTTCTCTCTCTCTCTCTCCCTCTTCTTTGCTCTCTCTGAAATCAATAAAGATATATTTTTAAAAAAGAAAGAAGAAAGAAAGAAGAAAGAAAGGAAGAAAGAAAGAAAGAAAGAAAGAAAGAAAGAAAG